GAGGGTCATTTAGATGATCAAATCATGATCAGGCAAAATATCTTTACCTTAAAAAAATCTTTCAACAAGAAAAAATAATAAGTTGATAAAATATCATATTGAAAATAACCTAGGATCACCAAGTTATTGAAAATCCCACCACTTATTAAACATGCATTATGCAAGAGCTAAATCTGTCTATTGCAGGTCTTTCTTTAGGCCTGAAATGTTATCTAAATTATTAATTAGACAGTAATTAACCTATCCAGGACATAATCAACTCTAGATGGCAGCGCTAGCCTGCGATCTTTAGTGGATTGTAAGCCGATTTACTGCATAACTTTCCTTCTCGATTAAACGATTAAATGGATAATCGAGACTATGCTGTTTGTCGTACTGACTTTAGTAATGATGACCGAGGCTTATGGGAATTTCAGTCGCTTAGTTCTCGGTTCATAGTGGATCAATTTGAATGAAATTTTCACCAAATTGCCTTTACATTATCTAGTTTTTAACTATTATAGTGAGAACTGCCAACTCGTTACCGAACCTCCCATAATGTATCTTTAATTGAGAATAGGGCATTATAATATGTCTTAAAATGTATCTCAACAATAGATTGACATGTATCTGTTTGCATACGATTAAATGTCATCACTTCCAATATGACTATAAAATCATAGCTAAATTAATGAAATTAATTTTTTTACCAACTGCAAAGATGTCTCTTTAATGTGTCACTTACTGTGTATGTGTTGTGGAGTTTTTATACAATGTCTTTTTTACATTGTGACATAAAATCAATGGTTAACTTATTGTATTTTCAGCTCTCTGTAATAGCTGGTGTTCAAATAAAAATTTACAGTCAACACATTATTATATTCAGACTCCTCCACATCAGTGACCTTCTTTCACCACTGCAAAACAAGACTGGATCTTCTCTATCTTTCAGTATACAGATGATGCCATTTTACCCACAGTTACTGCTACTTTGGAGGGAATTTATAATTTATTTTTCACCCCCATACATGGATTGGTTATTGTAATGGTGGAGTGAAATTCATCAGATTACCAGTTCGATCACATATCACCTATTAACTAAAATGAGACAAGAAGTTAATGTTATAGTATTAGTTAATGTAAATTAAAGAATAATGGAGAAAATTTTAATTTTTTTTTATCAAGCAAACAAAAACAAAAACGTGTCATTGAATTACCCATCTTTTAAAAGATGTTGGTTTTACAGGAAAACATTTATTATGTCGACTATAAATACACCAATATATCTACACATATAAATTGGTGACAGAACACCTTATCTAGCTGAGAAAATGTTAGAACCGCACACACTCATGTATTGTACAGCTTTAGTTTATGTTGATGGTATTTTTGTATCATGACGAATGTCTGTGTGTTCACGAGATGAATGAAATCCGCTCAATGAATTATTTTTAGGATGAGATTAGATTTGAAAAATCAATAATCGTGAAGTTTAGTATATGTCATCAACAGTGATTCATTGATAGAGTAATACTGACAGTAAGAGTTTGTGTACCGCGTGTCCTTGTTATCAGTGACAGCCATTTATTTAATTGTTTATTTCAATATTTGTGTTATTGGATCTGATCATGTTGGTGGTTACTATTCTTACTCGTGGTTAATTACGGATAAAACACAATCAAAAGCCATTAAATGGAATACATAATATTTGTTAGGTGAAACAAGTCATAATAATAAACTAATAAATAACCAGTATTTTTATCAACACTAACACCATTACACAATAAACATCATGATGTATCATTTTGTCCAGTTCATAATTATGATTTATTTATTAATCTGTCAATGCTAGGATACAGTTAAGCAGTACATATTGTCTTGGTTAGAAAGCAAAGTCATGATATAAAGGAATTGGCCTATAGATAAAAGCTGCGACCAGTAAATGCATTGCCGTCGTTCTACTTCTATATTATGATTGATATCTTATTTATATGAAGCAAATCCAAAAGTAGTAAAGGAAATAAACGACTTTTCTTAGAGTTCCAAGTTCCATACTTCTTGGGTTGACACTTTCATCTGCTTGATCTTCGAATATATTTTCAAATACTGGCACAGAGGAAAATATCAGAATTTATCAAGAATGCATATTGATAAATCCCCTATAAAACTGGGTTTAATAGATGTGAATCAATACCTATTAAGAGTTTAATTTCTGTAGTGTAAGTGTGTAAATCTAATTCAGACAGCCCAGGCCAAAACTGTGTCTCAGTCTTGATAGTGTATTGTTTGATTTTAATTTTGGTTGTCTAAATGGAAACAATATTTTCAGTACACTTGTAGACATTGGGTTCTGTACGTATAGTTACTTTAGTAACAAAGTTTTAGAGACCCCTAGTGCTCTCTCTTCATTACTGGCACGTCCTAAATGACAACTAATATGAAAATAAGGCTTTTCCCCCATCTCCGTTTTAAGGCTATTTTGGAATCCTTACCGCCAGTAACGAAGAGAGAGCACTAGGGGTCTCAAAGACTTCGTTACTAAAGTAACTAGGTTCTGTAGTGACTTTAATCATATTGACAATGTGACCTTAACTTTTCTGTGAAGAGTTCCACACAGAGCTCTTCCAAAGTATAGTTTGAGATGATATTTACTGAATATCTATAAATGGATACAATTCATGAATGTTATCATAGGTAGGCCTACTCCCAGAAGGTAGTATGGAATGGATCCAATTTCGTACATATTTAGCTGTTGGGACCTGTTGTCTTAAAATATAATTGAAAATGGAAAGGACCCATTGATTATGACATATGATGATGATATATGAATTTAATTTGTAAACTGGCCATAGATTATCAAAATTAATTAAACAATTAGAAAAATTCTGAGGTGAAAGTCTATGGAAGACCAAACACTCTTTATTCAGTGTTCTTAATTCATAGTCCTTAATTCTTATTTCTTCATTTGTTGTTGTATTTCGACATTTGTACACAAAAATTAACATTTGTATCTTAAAATCAATATTTGTATCTTAAAATCAATATTTGTTTTACAAATCAGACATTTGTCATATCCGATTTGTAAAATGTATTTTTGTTTAATTTAATTTTATTTTAATATAAAGATAAAAATAATAAATCAAAAAAATCATCTGCATTTTCATTTCATCATAGACATACAATTAAAAAACAAATCTCTAACAACAAATTTCTAAATACAAATCTACAAATACAAATCTTGCAAAACATTTCTCCAAAAACATTTCACGAAATTCATCGAACAGGAACATTATGACGATATGAGCGGAAATCAACCTGGCATACAATAAGTCACCATACAACAAAGGAGAATCGAACAAACATAATATATACAATAAGAAAAATTGCTCGATGGCCTCGACTTTAGTGAAATCGTGTGCATGTTATGTCTCTCTCTCTATATATATGGGTTAATCTGATCTAGCATTAAATAAAATAAATTGAAAGCAGTCTATTTTCAGATATTAGGTTTTGTCTGATAGCGACATATTTCTTTGGACAAACGAAAGAGGGCTTTATCTCTTCTAAATCATGTAATCATGAATTTGCCAGTAAAATAGACAATACTCGTATATTCAAAGAGCGATAGACAAATACTTTCCGGTGAAGCATTATACGATAACTGGAATTTTGTATTAAGATGCGTATTTTGACTTTTAAATACCCCCTCCCCTCACTTAATAGAGTTCAGATGATCCAAATTATATCTGCTTTAACAGGTTATGTAAATATGAATATATTTTACAATTTTGAAAATGTATTTGGACCTTTTTAATGGTATGCATCCCAATATCTCATTTAATATATGTTAGTGCCATTTCAATTTTGTTCTTTTTTCAAGGTATGTAAATACAAATGTGCAAGAAAATAATTTACAGTTTGTAGCAAACAATAAACATACTTTTCAACTGTATATAAACAGATGTCGAGAATTTCTTATTAAGATTTTTTTTTTACTTTAAATATCCCTTCCCCCCCCCCCCCCACTTAATAAAGTTTAGTACCGTGGAACTTTGATCTTTTTTCAAGGTATGTAAATATAAATGTACCAGACAAATAACTTGAAAAATTGGGAGGGTCTTACTACAATATCTGATAAATACTGCAAGAGTTATGGCCCTTAATCACTTCAAAATATCTTTTGGACGCTCTAGAGACTTAAGATAATTTCTGATTGACATTAGAATTATGCACAGTATTTAAGGTCATGAGATGAAGAAGCTTATTGATTTTCACTAATTTCTGATAATTATTGCCAGAGTTATGATAACCCTTGATCACTTTGAAATATCTTGTGGACGCTCTAGAGGCTAAAGTTAATATTCAATTGACTTTAAATTTAAGGTCTTGAGTGGCTAAGTGGGTAAGACGCCGGCTCGCTAGCCTGGAGGTCGGGTGTTCGATCCCTGCATTGGCCGAGAAGGTTCATCCAGATTTTCCGGCGTGGTTTCCCCTTGTCAGTGATGCAGGACGGAAGGCCTGACAAGGACAGCTGTCTAGTCGTTCGGATGGTACGAAAAACCGAGTTCCCGTGTACATTTTGGCGTGCACGTAAAAGATCCCTTGGCAGTTGGAATTCGATGTAAGAGTAGGCCGTAGCGCCGCTGCCCAGGCAAAATTTCCCTCATAGCACACTGTATGGCGTATGCCCGTCTTCATTAGCCCAGCTTAGGAGCAGAACAGTAGGACATTAAACCCCATTTCATTTCATTTCATTTAAGGTCTTGAGACAAACAAGTATATTGATAACTTGAACAGCTAAATCCATGAAATTAAATGTTTCGCATACTGATAATTACTGAATGAGTTGTTACTCTTAATCAGATTTTAGTGTATTATAAATGTTTTATTACCGACAGTAGAAAAAATATGTGACAACTCTTGTTGACTGCTCGGACGACTTAGCTGCTATGGGCGTATGTTTCTTTGCCGGCAACCTATCTTTAAAAGAATCTATTATTAGATTTTGTGATTTATTTTAGCTACCATTACGCATGGACTTGGTTTTAAATTTATCCCATGATGGCATCAGGCTCATCTTTGATCCTGTTTCTCAAAGACTAAAGGTAGGTGCATATTATTATACCCAGTTGAGATATAATTTCGTGAAACATTGTATACACATCAAACATGTATGGTACTGAAGCTGTTTGCCTTGTTTAATTGTCCCCCGCCTTTCGAAGAAAGCAGGGGACTATTAAAATGGGTTCGTCCGTCTGTCTGTCTGTCTGTCTGTCTGTCCGTCTGTCTGTCCGTCACACTTTTAGCTTGTGAACCCTATAGAGGTTACAATTTTTATCCGGTTTTGTTGAAACTTGAAATGTAAGTTTATAACCCAAAGATCTCGGTTCCTTTCGATATTTGCGCATATCGGACCGTAACTTCCTGATTTATGGCCCCTGATTGTACAAAAAACGCGTTTTTAGCTTGTGGACCCTATAGAGGTCATAATTTTTATCCGATTTAAAAAAACGTATTATTTTATCACCGTTACAGCCTAAGGACGGCTGAGTTCATATTTCGTGAAAATCGGCCCAAAATTGACAGACAAAATGGCCATCGTTCGTTCTCAAATTGCGTAAAAATATGGTATATCAAGGTTGTGGACCCTATAGAGGTCACAATTTTGATCCGATTTTGATAAAACTTGAAATACATATTTATAACCCAAAGATCTTGGTTCCTTTCGATATTCGCACATATTGGATCATAACTTCCTGAATTATGGCCCTTGATTGTACGAAAAGTCGCGTTTTTAGGATGTGATCCCTCTAGATGTCACAATTTTTATCCGATTTAAAAAAACGTTTGAATATATCACTGTTACACCCTTATGATGGTTGAGTCTGAATTTCGTACAAATCGGACCAAAACTACCAGACAAAATGGCTGCCCATCGTACGCAAATATTGTACATGTGGTATATCAAGGTTTTGGACCCTCTAGAGAGAGGACACAATTTTGATCCAATTTTGATGAAACTTGAAATGCATTTTTATAACCCAAAGATCTTGGTTCCTTTCAATATTCATGCATATCGGATTGTAACTTCCTGAATTATGGCCCTTGATTGTATGAAAAATCACTTCTTTTTTTAGCTTTTTCTCTGTCCATCTCTTGCAAAATGTGGGCGTATCTTGCATGGCAACCGCTTGTTTTGTTTGAATTCACAAAAGAAGTACAATAGTGATCTCACTCCCAGCAATTATATCCAGCTTATAGGTCATCTTAATTATTAATTATGAATATCTTCCATATCATGAATTACTTTTAACTTTGCTCTGACCTCGTCTGCCATGCTCTTTAATTTTTAAAACTCTTTGTGTAACCCTGTGGTAACTATAGGACACTGGCAGTGTTTTTAAAGGTTAAGATACAATGATCAAATTTGGTATGGAAAATGTTTGTGATAAGCCAATAGATGTCCATGTAACATTGTAATAGTAATATTATGTGAATGATAATCCTGTATTTATCAACGCACAAAGCACACAAAACATAGTTCCGAAAATCAAAACATTACAAGGCATCAATTGAAATTTATTATTTGCTATTTGAAAAATAATCAATGATTTAAAACAAAAACTGAAGACTGAGATATTTTAGTGTTAATTAAAGTTAATGACATTAACAAAGCAAAATTCCATTTCAACCAGGAATAGCAATTCGCAAGCATTCCTGGTAAGTTTTTTGCCTAACGAGTCTTGGAAAATCTAAATAAAGCCATTTTTTAAAGGCAAATATTCTGGAGGTAGAAAATTAATAGAAATTATATTTTCTTTTATCTGTATTAATAAGAGGCCTGACAAATAAGGATCATGTGAAAAGTGACTAATTGTAAATACATTTTAACATGATGCTATACAGGTATTTGACATGAGGACATACAGCAGACGCTATACAACCTACTACATGTCATTAATCATACTGCTCAAATACAGATGGACACTTAGATAAATTTTTAAATGACCATTTAGTTTTGCCAATTGTACTACCTTGTAGTAGCACGTGCCATGTGTTCAGAACTTCAAGTATGTCAAGTGAGCGAGGTATTCAGCTATCATGCTGCTATTGTAGTTGACCAGCATGTATGACAAATGGCCGTTTTGTCCACTTGAAAAGAAAAAAAGGAGGACATAGGTCAGTTGACTAGTGTGAAGTAGATTGATAAAATAATTATAATGAATATTTTAAATGGTCATCATGATAGTTATGTTCCATCTATTAATGTTCCGTTTGCATCTGTCACTTTGGCAGACATTATGAAATAAAATTTGAACAATTTTGACTATTTTGATTTGATTTGAAATTTGTTTTTGATCTGTAGGCATACTTTTATTGTTAAATATAGATTTTAAGAATAAGACCAAACACAGTCAACGATACTTTTATTTTTAAAAATTCTGGTTCAAAAATGATTCAAATTCATCAATTCTAATTTACGTTCCCTGTGTACAAAAAGAGTGATTTGATGATATATTACTATTTTTCTAGTAAGATTGGGGTCTCTACTTTCCATATATGTATACTCTTCAAAAAAAGTAGGGGATATTGAAATGCAAATATCTATGCAGGTTGTGATGATAAATAGTCATGGACACTTGACATGCTTTGAGAGTATGTTCACAGATGAAGAACTTATCTCCCCAACAGAATCACTGAGCTGCAGGTGCGACATGCAATAGCGCCATACACTTTGGAGATGTTCATTGTCAAATTTGACACTTCAAGGAAGGGTTGATGAAAACTGCCTCGTGCTGGTTTATCCTATCCGTGTTTGCTATCCTATCGGTTCTTGCATAAGATTTACTGTTTAGTGTATCTTTGCTTTAGTTTGTTACGTTTAATTTGCAATGAGACGTCTTCAACATGATGAACGTATACGTGCTTTGGCATGCTTCAAATGGGTTCTACACAGTGAGCAGTAGCCAGCATGCTTAATGTGTCACAGTCTGTGATCAGCAGACTGTGGAACCGGTACCAACAAACACACAATGTTGATGATAGACCTCGTTCAGGTCGTCCTAGAGCCACTACACAAGCCCAGGATCGATACATTTGTACACAGGTTCTGCGAAAATCGAGGACAAACGGCCAATCGGCTTCCTGTAAACTTGTACCAAGTTACAGAAATTCGAGTTACACCCCAAACGATTAGAAATCGGCTACATGCAGGCCATTTGCATGCGCCACAACAGCGTGTTGTGCCTCCATTAACTTGCCAGCACATGGCAAACAGGTGCCAATGGTGTAGGCAGCGTAGAAATTGGGGTAATCGTCGATGGGTGCATGTAATGTTCTCAGATGAGTCCAGATTTACTCTGGATTTCACCGATAGGCATGCTCGCGTTTGGAGGCGTGTAAATGAGCATCATGCTAACGTTAACGCCAGACAGCATGACAGATTCGGGCGTGGGTCTGTTATGGTGTGCGGAGGAATCACCATGACTGGCAGAACGGACTTGCATAATGTTCAAGGAAGGGTCACTGGTGTGTACTACCGTGACCACATCCTGGCTCAACGTGCCGGTCGACGTTTCATCTTTCAAGATGATAATGCCCATGCCCACCGCGCTCATGTCAGGAATGACTAACTCCAGCATGACCATATTGTCCATATGCCTTGGCCAGCCATGAGTCCTGACCTTTCCCCTATAGAGCATGTCTGGGACATGATCGGGAGACGTGTGCGTCAACGTCAACCGACAACACTGCAAGAATTGGCAGTGGCTCTGCCAATTGCCCCAAATCGTGATTGGACGGTTAATTAGGAGCATGCCACAACGAATTGCTGGATGTCTGAGAATTGGTGGAGCAATTACTCATTATTAAGACAAAAATCAAAAACGTCTATTTTCACTTTTGACAGTTGATCTCTTTTCGAGTGAAATGGGGCCGTCAGATAAGCCGCCTATATGAACTGTTTATGTTTATGTGTAGGCAATTGGCCTGTTATTAACATACACTGGTTACCTCTAATAAAAACAGCAGTGCATTTCCTCAGTTTTGTATTGTTTCTGAATATCTCCTACTTTTTTTGAAGAGTATATATCAAATTTTCCATACTTTTATCGGAAATAACTACTCTATAAATACTTTCGTGAGAATGTATCTTTAATGAGTTATGGCCATTTAAGGTTTACATTAGTTTTCATTGATTTCCCACTGCCACTTTATCTTCTTAGACAAATATAGTAGTAGTAGTATTAGTAGTAATTTATCTGTCTTTTTCATAAAAGCCCGCCCGTTTTTTTGAAATAGTTTTTTTTATACTTAGATGTGCATAATACTATTCTTTGCATGGACAGATTTTTTAGATTAATGTGAATAATCTGGCTTGTTGGGCCTTTAAGTTATAAAAAACAAATATGGAATTCAACAGTGCCATTAAAATGTCTTTTCCCTTTTCCATTAGTGCACTTATGGTCTACATAGTGTGACAAGAGATAAGGAAACCAGGACATATAAATTATTATTTAATGATATTTTATGAAAACAAAAACTGAGGAAATAAATAAATAGCTATATAGATATAAATATAAGCTTGTTTAACAATGCCAACTTAATTGAACACAAGTGTCTGGAAATTGTAGTGCCCACAATATGAGGCTTTGAAACGTTCAGGGACTCGGCAGTGAAAGTCGATTCTTGTCATTTTTAGCCGAGATGAAATTTCTCTCCTTGAAAATTATTTTAACCCTTGTGCATATACAAGGGGTATTTCGGGACCCCACGACCATATCCTTGACATTTGTGAGGAACTGGTTCATAATTGTGTAGCAAGAATTTTATACATTGTCAGCTACTTAATGTTGAGTATAATGCTGCAAATAGAACGGAAGTGAGGCTGTGGCAACATTCTTCATTTGACAAGAAACTACGAGTATTACATTATCAGACACAAGGGTTCTTGTGCCCCCCCCCTTTCTTTTCAATATTTTGCTGGTTACAAGTGACTTATTTTGCGCTTGTTGCTAGCTTTGTATTTGGAATCTTTCTTACTGATGATATTGTGTTGGTCATTCTAGTAATCTAGATCTGAAGGCAAATCTTGGTACTCTTCCAACCCCATCAAAATACGATTCTACATGGAACATGACAATTAAGTTATTTGTAGATATGTATGGTTTCAAAAATACCTTATAATTCACATCGTCACTGTTAATACCTCAAATAATTTTGTTTTACTCTGATTCATTATTATTCATATTATTTATATAAGGCTGTTGTTTGATCTTATTTGAATAAAATTATGCATCCAAAAACCAATTTATGTCTGTGGTCTTAGATTACCCCTTGTTGCCGACAATGTTTTTCGTGCAACGTGTCCACACAAGGGTTAAATGATAAAAAGTAAAAAAAAAATAACACCATATTTGACACTAAATAATGACTTGGTTGGGTGTTTTCTAACTGATGCTACTATTTTGACACAACAGAAGGAGGAAGTTTTAAAAAAAAGTGATTGGTAGTCTTGAGTCTAATCACATGAACAAATGGTCTTAACAGTGGTGGATTAATAGAGTTTTTTCTATCTCTAAACCCTTTAATAGATGCATGAAATGAGGACTAATTGTTTGCCTACTACTAACTGATCTATGACACGGCCTGTCAAAGAGGTGTACAGAGTTAAGTCCACTACAATAAGATTGACCCAAAGCGACCCTGTGTCACCAGATGGGCATTGTGGGTGTACTGTCATATCATACCTTATAAAGATTAATGAGCCGGCTGCTCTTCACACTAAAATAATAGAACATTTAAACAGATATTCAAACTTGCCACTATTTTCCGTTTTGCTTCCTGGGTATCTTAATATTTAAAGGATCAGTCCCAGTGTTCACAGGATGCCCAAAATATAAGTGGTTTTAATTATGTAAATCAAACTCCAAGATAGCCTGTTTATCTTGTCTGAAAATTGTAAATAAAATTATTCACTGGTTCAGAATTGCCAGATTAGGTTACCTGGGTAATGTAACTGATTTTAGGAATTTTATTCTTCGATTTAATTAGTGTCTTGATAGTCATGACTATCAACTACCACTATGAATTTGGCTTATCCAGGCACTTCCACAGAGTGGAATCTGGCCAGCCGCACATGGAAACTGAAAGTTTGTATTTTTTGATAAAGTATCACATAATTTTGGATAGTAATACTGGACTTGAAAAACGGTTGGCAAATCTTTCAACCAAAATTAAAGAGTTTTATTCACTAAAATATATCCGGGACTTCTCCTTTAAATTATGTTTCAACCTGTGACAGATTGTATTTGAAATATTTATGATAAAATAGAAAATGCACATTCCTTGTAATTATTGTTTTTTCTTTTCTGTCTGGTATTTTAAACTTAGCCATTTGATGTCCTCTTACCGACATCCTCAGATTTTATTTTTTGAGTGGATTTAACTGTCTAAATTACAGTAGCCTTAAGTAGCATCATCATTCTTTCAAATAGATTTCCTTAATTCTAATATCATAATGACCTATGACACATGTCACCTGTCCATAATGATGGTAATAATACAACCACACAGGAGGTCACTATCAAAATACAAATTTTTAAAGATCTGTTTTAGATCACTTCAACACCTATATTTTCTCATTAGGCAAACTTTTATTTTGGAACAAAATCCTGGTGGGTATTCCCATATAATTAGGCTGACTAGTACTTTAAGTGACTAGATCGCCCCTGAGCCAGTTTGATGTGACCCATTATTAAATGACTAAGCACCAAGGGGCGAGTGGAGAAATAATAATTGATTTAGTGGACTCTTTTATCCAGTATAAAGCTTGATAAAGTCAAGTACTACAACCCAGTAGTTCTATTTTGAAAATGGTTTAAAAAAACCCAAATATTATTGTGCATTAGTTTCGTCCGAAAGAAGGTCGTGGATCAAAATGTATTCAAGTTAATGAAAATAAAAGTAGCACAGTCAAAAAACATGGCAAAATTAACTGGATAATGTTCAAAATATTTTCTGCACCTCTTTACCAAAGATCTCAAAATCATTTTTAATATAGTAGGCCCAAAACTTACTAGCACTTATTAATTTTCAGCAATTCTTCAGTGGGTCATAAGGAAACCAAAAAACCTAAGCGAAATTCTGAATGTTCATATCACAATTACAAATCACAGAATTATCTCCCAATTTACATTCAAAGTTGTTATGGCTTGTGAGTTTTTAATTTTATTGGTATTGTTCAGTACATGTAGGAATAGGATATAAGAAAAATTCCCTGTCTTCAAACATGTTTTGCAGAGTTATCTTTCTGGTAATATTTTGACTTTTAAATATTATTTCAGATGATTGAAGTCAATAGTATGGGAAAAGTCAAATTGAAATACTGGTAAGTTAATATATTTATAGAAAATTGTAATCTTAATGTCCTATAAAATGTTAAAAATATATCATTATAGTTATGGAAAAGTTTAAAAAGGTAGTTGGGGTGGGGGCGGAAGGAATCATGAACATCACATACATTGTAGAATAACTGTCAATTGAACTCATTTGGGGTGATGGTGGAATCATTCACTGCCTTGTATGTTTCCTGCTTACAATGACAGAGACTTCTCTTTCTTACACATGCATTTTCTAACTAATTAGTTTTCGTTTGGAAAATGATAATTCCAAATATTACTTTGAATTTGATATGGTGAGCTCTACATTATTTTGAATATGATACAGTGTGTTAATACTACTTTAGTTTTCATTTGTCTTCAGTTCTTTTTCTCTCAGTCCTTTGAACTCAAGATATAATTAAGATCCCATCTGCATTTTTTTTTTTATTTGGTTGTGTGTTGATTTGTGTTGGATTAAGTAACAATCATATATATGGATTTAACTATAATGTATGCCAATATGATGTCACATTATTATCATTAATAACAGATCTATGACAGTCTTGATAATTGGGATGAATTAACATCCATAGCCAGGACTTTTTATGACCTGTGATTGTTTTATCATAGAGGAAAGATTAAACTAAGTTTACAGATCTGACACAAAGGATTTATTCAAGGCAAAGGCTAATGGCTGGACACCTCTGCTAACGCTTCATTTAGCAGACGGCTTCTTTTTGTTCAAAGGCCAATCCCCAATAATAAAAGAAACAAAACCAAGAATAAAAAACGCATTTGATGAGTTAACAGTTAGCTGGTTTTATTATGGTTGCACGTAAATTATTGGTATCATTTGATTTACTGACAAACTGGTAATGTCTGGATTAATTCCCTTGTAATCAGTTTACAGTTAGAAATGAATTGAAACATTGGATTCTGTTGAAACGGTTGTCTAATCTTTGGTTTGTTATGTGGCTAAAACCTTTAATCATTGTTCTGGGGAAGACAGCACTAGCTCCATAAAAGAAATACACTACTAGTACTGAGTACTAGGGTAAATCTGTACATTTATTCATATTTAATTCATTTGTGTTATACATGTACACGAGCGATACAGATTTATTAATAAGAAGATTTTGATACTCCAGAGAATAAATTATGTCAAATGAGTGGCCTCAATTAAAATTAGTTTAAATTTAGTGAATCAATATGTGGGATTAGATTTGAAAAGAAAAAAAAAGAATTAATTTTGGGGTTTCTTAAAAGTAAATGATAATTTAAGATACACATAAAAAATGTAGAATTTTGGAAACCATGTGGAAATTCTGGACAGAGGAGACCCCAATTTGTTTTGACATTGCTCCGCCACTAAACTATCAAAAACTAACAGGAAATGGTCATTTGCCATTTAATTGACATAATATAGTAAATAATAAATCGTTTTTTCATTAAGTTTCTTCTATTTTTATTTTTTATCACGCATGGATAGAAAAGAGCATTTCATTTTTTAGTGGTGGGAGGGGGAGGGTCTGTCCCTTTGTCCCTCCTCCACCTAGATCAACTCTTAAGATTACAGTGATTTAAAATTCAGATTATAATCTTCTTAAACTTTATGTACTCTTACTGTATTATATTTTACTTTTTGTCTGTTTTTCAAGTGGAGTTCATTTTAACACACCACAAGTTCGACCAACCATAGAACAGATCGATCAGTCATTTGGAGCAACTCATCCTGGAGGTAGTATACAATAATAGAACAATTATATGGTACCAGCACATTCTATACACATTACAATTATATAGTCATAAAACTGTACTACAGTATACATGTACCCTTGTCATTTTTAATACTGATCTCACTTTTATAATAAACCCTCACCTTAATTACAATTATATACATGTAGTCATCATATAGATAAGATTGCATACGAATAAATACATGTATGATTGATTTCTCCTCTGTATCATATTAGAGATAGTTTTTTAATTATACCCTCATCTTATTGTTAAACTAATTTATTATTAAGCTATTGATGGTCTCATTTCATATAGTAAGCCCTCACCTCAATAGCTTTGAATTTTTAAAGATGGATTTCCATATGATCTATTTCTTTCTAACATTGGATGTCGTACCAATGTTAAGTTGTTTGCCTAATCATGATTAAGAAGTTTGTCTGTCCAGGTTAAGGGGTTGTTTATCATTTTTTATAACAATGCTTGTCTCTTCAATGATTGTTTAGTTGTGTCATGAGGTTGTGCAGCTCTTTTGTTTCTCTGTTTGCAACAGGAGTTTCCGTAGATGAGGGGTCATGTGAGGATTGGGCAAATCCTATGGCCCCCAACTTTGTGTACGAACATTGCATTGTATTGAATGACAATGAAAAAGTTGGTCTCTTGTCATGTATATCTTGGCAAACAACTCTTATCTGTCAATAGTTGCTGTGAAATGTGTCATGATAAATGGCGAATGATAAAGGTGAACGTGGCCAGTGTAATTAAATGTGGCCATAGATCAACCAGTTGTAAAAATGATGTGTATTGGTTCACATTGTTAAAAGAGTAATATAGTCCTAATAGTTGGACAATGTTTTCATCAAGATATAGTAGAATAAAAGCATTGCCTGATCTATTTCTATTCCCTTTTCAATGAAAGCTGATTACAATCAGTTATAAGTGTATGTTAATTAGGAGTCTTTTCATTCTGTGCGCTGTTCCATCTCTTTCTGCATGGTTTGCAAAAGTGTGACACGCATACGGTCTGGATCAATTACAGGCTAACCAATTGTTGAAGTTTTAACATCAGGTGGGACATAAAGATACCATCAGATTTTTACTGATACTCTTTCAGTCTGTTACAAACCACAATCACATACTACAATATTCAATCAACTTCACTAAAAAACTAAAAAAACACTTCAGAAAATCACGGAAATTAAATCTGTAAAGTCTTGTGTTCAGTCACTGTTGCGTACTACCTGAACTATAGTCAAAAAGAAAAAAGTTAATTAATTATGCATGCATTACATTTAGGGTGGCAATTACTCTGGTGAATTTTTACACGTATCATTGATATAAAATAATGTTATCTTGGTCATTTTATTCAAGTATTTTAATACCAGGTATCATGCTAGTAGTGTTTAATCAAATTAATTAATTTTTATATTTAATTGTCTCAATTCTTTTATTCTTTTTTTTTTCATAGTGTACATATCAGAAAAACAGTTATTTGTGTTAAATTTCCGAGGTCTTTCATTTGATTTTCCCATAGATTCCAAATTTGAGGTAAGATTTCATGAAGATAACTTTTTGACTCTGATTAATTTGTTTTCATTTCCAAATGGATTGTGATTTTAATTTTGAAAAATAGCATATTTTTCTGAGCAGAAACCAGTACTCGCTCAATGCTAGAAAAAAATTGATTGTCTGTCCATCCGGTGAGGCACTAAAAGACAAAAGTTATCATCCGATTGACTTAAACACTATGAGTTGAAAAGTATAGTATATTCATTATTAATGAATTACAATAACTTAAACAGTATCAAAGCATTTTATTTGTTAGTGCCAGGAGAAACTAGAAGCCTATTAAATTTTAATTATTTCTGATAACTACTTCATTGTCTCCTGATTTTTATATGCCCACATGGATATGTGGACATATACTATTCAAAAAAAGTAGGGGATATTTGATTTTTAAGTGTTATTAAAGTCACCTAATGAAACTGACGAAGAAACAAATGACAAAATGAAATGAAGTTCACATTCATCGATTTATTCCAAATGATCGTTAGACTAAGTAAGGCACAGACTGACCATTATAAGGGTAAAATGATACCCGGGGTCAAACAGCAAAGTTACCACAGCATCACAACCAAGTCAGTAACGGGTAAATCCTCCTCTGTTTGCCAAACAAGCATTGATCCGATGTGGCATACTCCTAATGAGACGTCTAAGGTCATTTTGGTCCAGATTGTCCCATTCCTGTTGCAACGCAGCAGCAAGTTCTTGGACATTGGCAGGACGTTGTTGACGTTGACGTAACCTCTGTCCAAGCATGTCCCAGACATGCTCGATGGGGGAGAGGTCGGGACTCAGTGCTGGCCAAGGTAATGTGGTGATGTTCTGTTGTTGGAGGTAACCTGTAACGATCCTGGCCCTGTGACATCTTGCGTTGTCATCCTGGAAGATGAAACGGCGGCCATGACGTCGTGCGAACGGCACAACATGGACTGCCAAGATGTTGTCCCTGTAGTACTGGCCTGTAACACGCCCTGCAACAACATGTAAAGCCGTTCTTCCAGCAACAGTGATGCCTCCCCACACCATAACAGAACCACCCCCAAATCGATCATGTCTGATGACGTTAACGTCTTGGAAGCGCTCGTTTCGACGACGCCACACCCTCCTACGTCTGTCCAAAAAATCAACAGTGAACCTTGACTCATCTGAAAACATCACATTGCTCCAGCGTCGATTATCCCAGTGTTGACGATCCCTACACCAATGGCGTCTTGCCTGAATGTGATGATCTCTCAAACAAGGGATCACGCGAGGACGTCGGGCGCGAAGGTGACCCCTATGCAGTCGATTCCGAATCGTCTGGCCACTCACTCTCACACCAGTGTCTGTTTGAAGACTAGCGCTGATCTGATTTGCTGTGATGACACGATTTCTCAAGGCCAAGGCACGGATAAATCGATCCTTGGCTTGAGTTGTCGCCCTTGGTCGACCTGAGCGTGGTCTGTCCTGTACAGATTGTGTATCACGGTATCTGGACCATAGCCTGCTTATGACAGACTGAGAAACATTCATCGTCCGCGCCACAACCGCCTGTGTTGTGCCGATCTGTAGCATGCCAAGGGCACGTAACCTTTCATTTTGTGTAAACCGACGCATATCAAAATTTGTTTTCTGGTCACTAAAACAATTAAACTGATGTTTCCACCCTGGAATTCAATGCCACAATGACTGTAACATTCAAAGTCAGAGTCGTGCAAATCTTGGGTTGGACCCCCATGATGATCCCAAGCATCACCTGCATTCCATGCGGTAGCTATTGGTGCATTTGGGCGTCACATGTAACTGGAAATGTTTCTTCTGTTAGGTTCTATAGTGACTTTTTTCGTAGTCATTTGCATATTTTAGTATTATGCCCCCAAAATCAAATATCTCCTACTTTTTTTGAATAGTATATATTACTGTCGCCCCTGTCCTTCCGTCAGTTGTCTACAATTTCTTGTGAATGCTCTAACTCCAAAAGTTATTATCCAATTGTTTTAAAATTGATATATGTGGTTTACATTAGTGAGATGAAGAATCCTATTTAATTTCAATAATTTATGTTCATTACGTCTAGAGTTATGGCCCTTGTTTCACTTTGTTGAACCTTGTGAACGCTTTTACACCAAAAGTTATCATCCGATCTTTGTGAAATTTATGTGCATTATTTAAATTAGTGAAACAAAGAAGTCTATTGAATTTCAGCAATTTCCGTTTATTACATCTAGAGTTATGGCCCTTGTTTCACTTTATTGAACCTTGTGAACACTCTAATGCCAAAAGTTATCACCCGATCTTTGTAAAATTTATATGCATTATTTAAATTAGTGAAACCATGAAGCCTATTGAATTTCAGCAATTTCCAATAATTACTTCTAGAGTTATGGCCCTTGTTTTACTTTGTTCAACCTTGTTAATGCTCGATTGATGAAAGTTATCATCATGTATGAAATTTATATTCAGAATTTTCCGTCAATAATTTCTAGAGTTATGGCCCTTAATTGTTTTACTTTGTGAACCTTGTGAACGTTTGAATGACACAAGTGATCATCCGATCTGTATGAAATTTATATGCATTATTTAAATTAGTAAAACGAAAATGCCTGTCAAATTTCAACAATTTCTGTAGACTACTTCCAAAGTTGAGGCCCTTGTTTCAATTTGTAGAACTATGTGAACCCTCAAACGACAAAAATTATAATCTGATCTGTACGGTCTTGTAAAGGCCCTCAATTACCTACAAAGGAATAAATATGTGACAACCCTTGTCGACCGCTCAAACGATTGAGCTGCTGTGGGCGTATGTTTCGTTGCCTGGCAACCTGTCTTTGAAGAAAGCAGGAAATGTTTTTTTAAATGCTTCAATTCCCAAAAAAAGAATAGAAATGTAGCAGCCTTTATTGAAGGCTCCAATGACTTTTCTGGTGTGGTTGTATGTTTTGTTGCATAGAAATCTATCTTGTAATTGAAAGATTTGGTTGATTGTTTTATTAATTACAAACCACTTTTAAATGCATTTATTTTAGGTTTAAATTGTCTGAATCAATGAAATTCAAAAATACATTTACATGTAATGAAGAACTTTTTCTTTTTGTAGCCAAAGTATGCCCATGGCTTGGGTTCCTTACAGTTCCCTAATGGAGCATCACCCACTGTATCTAGGATGTGTATATATGCTGGTAACAGTGTCTCTGATACCAAGTAAGCTACTATTACTGCACTTTAAGATACTTTAACTTAGCTCAACTAGGTTAGTTATGCAGCAGACACACTAGGCGAATTTCTAGCTGAACCAATCAGTGCCGAATTCATTCGGTTGATTGAGTGGACACACTTGGCGAATTCTCCGCCCGATTCACCAGTGGATTGCATCATCTTTCACGTCACATGATTAAACATGGCAGCGACCAAGAAAAAAAAAATGGCTGCAGTGGTGAGATTTTTTTAATCTTACGCCGTATGCATCGGTATAGAAAGAGGTGGCTGAGTTAACACACATTTATAAGTACAAATTTAGATTTTTGATAATAGGCTAAGATTCTATTTAAGATAATATCATTCAAAATGATTTTACATTATATGTTATATATTTTCAGAGCACCCCCCTTATCTATAGCATGTTTTCATGGAAATTGTTTCCTAGATTGTTTGGAAGTTTTGCGTGAAAATAATGCTACCATAGGTCTTAAATTTTTACTAGTCACAGAAGGTGAGTTCAGCACTTTTATATTGTGCAATATGATACTAGAAAAAAAACACTCTCGGATATGGAATCAGATAGCCCAAAAATAGTGTTACTTAGACTGTCTCAAACTGTGCGAGATATGTGACTAGCTCACCATATTGTACGTACGTAACTAACGTACAAAAATTAATTGGTGGCTAGCTTTTTTTCGCACGTATACAGTGAATGGCCATTTTGCTCAGTAATCCCAGCCAGAATTTGGCTATTTTCTAAATTTGCGTTAAAGTTTAAAATATTTGTTTTAGAACTGAAATAAATTAACAATTAGTCAATCCCAACGCTAAAAACATCAACAGAATTGATTGTGTATATCTGAAATAGACACGACCGACACACAAAATAGTGCCAAGATCGCAGCCTCTATGAACAACCATTCGCATATGCTGTCATTGAAGACGACGTCAATTCTATGAGTTGTAGATATTATTTTTGTGAAAAATCATTGGAAGAAGAGAGAACATGTTGGGACTGTACGAATTATATAGTCTTTATGGGTGCAAAGGAAACAATGCTGAAGATAAACCTATTGTTTACAATGTAACGTGTTGTTGACCTCATGACCCATTGACGTCAATGTCATGACCTGTGATGTGTAGATCATGTGATATGGATATCATGGCTATTGACTGTGTCTGAGATACTTCTCCGCAGGTAGTGGTCTCAGATGTTCAGAATGCATATTGTAGGAACGTATAGTATTGGGGGCGCCACAGCTCGGGCAGTCTAAGGAACTCTCATTACGAGCAGTTCAAGTGATAATGTGCTAATGATGTTATGCTTAATTTGTAGGCAGTGGACCTGGTAAACTTGTTGATCCCAGGAAAAAAACAGTTGAAAGAATAGTTAAATTTGGAGATAGTTGTCAGGTATAGATACAGTCTCATTTCAATATCAATATTTAGTCAGGCTTTGAAATGTTTAAAAAAAAGCTATTCTTCATTCTTGTCGCTTCAGTAAGTAACCTGTCACTCTCAATTATCAAAGACCAATCACATCACACGTATCCATACATGTAGGTACACAAAAACTCTTAAATTGTTTAGGTCTTTACTTACATTGCTCCATATAAGTATCGTAATATGAAACGTTTTTAATTCTTCGACATCGGAATGCCTAAAAATTCTTGAAAGTCCTCGAATCTGCTTTGGCTCGGTGACTCGACGATTCGTACAATTCTATCATCCGTATCCACGTGAATACCGCCAATTATCATGGTACCAAACTTGCATGCTAACTTGAATACTTCGCCGTTGAGGTGTAGAATTCAGATTCTACAATATCCGTAATAAATTTAATATCAAAACACGAACCACACCTGTGCATGGCTCCGTATTTACGTGTACTGCGTGCGGAGGACAGGTAAGGCCCCCTGGAATACTTCGCCGTTGAGGTGTAGAATTCAGATTCTACAATATCCGTAATAAATTTAATTTCAAAACACGAACCACACCTGTGCATGGCCCCCGTATTTACGTGTACTGCGTGCGGACGACAGGTAAGGCCCCATGGAATTCCTTTCTCACATCCTGTCTATATTTACGCTACAAATTATATTTATATATGAAATATTTTTCCGACCCAATTATTTGATTTTGTCAAATTTTCTTATTAATTATTCATAACCATTATGGAAATTGTTTTAAACTTTTTAAATGATTAAATACACTAGACAACGAGCCGTGTACCAAACTTGCATGCTAACTTGAATACTTCGCCGTTGAGGTGTAGAATTCAGATTCTACAATATCCGTAATAAATTTAATTTCAAAACACGAACCACACCTGTGCATGGCCCCGTATTTACGTGTACTGCGTGCGGAGGACAGGTAAGGCCCCATGGAATTCCTTTCTCACATCCTGTCTATATTTACGCTACAAATTATATTTATATATGAAATATTTTTCCGACCCAATTATTTGATTTTGTCAAATTTTCTTATAAATTATTCATAACCTTTATGGAAATTGTTTTAAACTTTTTAAATGATTAAATACACTAGACAACGAGCCGTGTGCATTACCATTCCAGCCACCACTGTATTTACTGTGGTGTCGGTATGGTAGAATTATTTCAGATGACTTAGGGGTGCGTTTTAATTTATTTAGATATAATACTTCATAATGCTATTAGCTAGTGTCAAGCAGATGAAAACCAGCGTAGATGGTGTGAAATTCATTGTTAATCATTATAAATTTGACTAGTTCCAATCTTTGTGAGTGAATGTATGCTACGATAGAGCGAATTTCCATGCTTAATTCTTGCATTTAGAAACAAATAATTAAATGTACCTGATGTAGACATGAGTATTGTGTACTGAACATCAGGTAAAATTTAGTTTTACTTGCTACCTGTCAGACGTAAAAATCGCCTGTCGGGGACAAGTAGACAGGCGAACATTTCAAGCCATGGTTTAGTCAAGGAAGTATCTGAATTTTCCAGCCAGGTTTCCCCTTGTCGGTGGTGCAGGACAGAGTTCCTTGTACGGAACAGTCTAGTCATTTGGATGGGACAAAAAACTGAGGTACTGTCAGAATTTGAAATAATAGTAGTCTGTATAATTGCCACTGTTCTGGCAAAATTTCCTTTCCTATCACACTGCATGGCATATGCCCGGTTGTTGCAGAAAAGTTGTACATTTCATTTCATTTTAGAGATAAATTTCATTAACATTTGTGATCCTTGATGTATAATCATTGATTGTAAAAAATATTCAAACTATCACCGTAGCATTACAGATATCATTACTTTCAGATAAAACCTCAGGGTTTTGGACATACTCCCCGCAGTGTTTCATTTGATTAGAGCTAATCCCACTAAACACTGCTTTAATAGAAGCAAATTTCTGTTCCAAATTATGACTAGTCAAAAGTCAGATTAACAACCAATAGCTAACTGCATAACAATATGATTACGCTTTAAACATAGCTCCACATTGGACCAAATATGTTTACATAACGTTACGTCATGACTCACTTTTAAATTATGCCCAATTAACCAGTGCATAGCAGAATATTGCAGAAAAATTAATTGCGTGACAAATGTTGCTATCAACACTGATACAATGTAAACAATACTGTATGGAGACGAACAAGACTTCCACCGTTTTTAATGCCTTAAATCACTGTCCAAAGTTTTAAGCAAGACCCCAGATTAAACGAAGGGCTGTCATGTTGCTGTACTTGGGATATATTTGATTAAACGGGAAGAATAGACACAATTTTCCAGCAATGGGCAGAGAGGATTTTGCGGGCCATTGCTTCAGGAATATGGGTTTTGGAGGGTCAAACGTGATATGACTATGGTTGAAGGAACAGTAAAACATTAAACATGTTGATTTATATTACATTATTTTGAATTTGACAGGATGTTGTTAGTGCCTTAGGATGTGCTAGTAAAGTTTTCTACAAGTCAGAAGACAAAATGAAAATCCATTCACCTGAAGCACACAAAAGAGTTCGCTCCCGTAGTGCTGATTATTTCTATAATTATTTTACCTTGGGATTGGTGAGTATATTTACATTATTATTATGTAATTATTATTTATACAAACGGTGTTATAATTAGTCCACATTAAGGAAGATTATATCTAACCAACTGTTAAAATGTTGTTCACCATGATGTGTAGTAGATACACTGACTTACCTCCAGATAAATGAGATAAATGTTTTGGGGGAAGTATAACCTGCCTCAAACATAGCACATGCCGTAAGTGCTACAATGTCAAATCTGGCCAGAATTAATAAAGGTAACAAAATGTACAAGAGAAATTTCAAAGGAGTAATTATATAATTGTATTAATAGTGGCAGATTAAATAATGGCAGGAATAATTCAGTTAAATTCTCTAACAATGGTAAAAAAAGTATATGATAATTTTTTTTCACACAAAACTTTTACTGTAATTCGGATATTGTTTTATTTTGAGATGAATATTTTTCTTTCTTTTTTTTATAGAGAGATTAAGCATAATAAGAAGAACAAGCAAATTTATATACATGAATTTTGATGGCAGAAGCTGTAGGTTTAAAGAGTAAATTTGAGTAGAAACATTAAGCTTATTTTCTATTGATTTTGCAGGATATATTATTTGATGCCAATACTCATAAAGTTAAAAAGTTTATACTACATACTAATTATCCTGGTCATTATAATTTTAACATGTAAGTACTGATATTATTTTAATGAAATTACAACCTTGACACATCACACTAACATTTATATCAGGCTTCACATGGACTATATCTTACAGCAAGGGTTAAAGTCCAGGGTAAGAGTATAGATGTAAATGTCACTGTCAATGCAAAATACCCCAACCCCCTCCCCCGCATGGCACATATAACGATAGAAAACAAATGTTAGTGTAAAATACAACTGCAGTTCTATGTTGACAAGCCTTTAAACTCCATCCAGTACCAGAAATATGACCAAGTATTTTATGTGTCCTCAAACTTAGGGTAATATAGTTTTGTAACTCAGACATTATTACAACATGACATTTGATATATAATATTTTATATTTACAGGTATTGTAGATGTGAATTTAAACTGCCAGCTGTAATGGAGAAAGTCAAGCAACCATTATTATCTACTTTAGATGAAGATGAACTAGTCATAACAGCATATTCTAAGGTAGTTACATCTAATAGGGTTTCTGAAGATCTTAATCTGGTTGTAAAAAATAATATTTCATTTAATTTGCTATGATTTGATTTGAACAATTTCATCGAGTAAGTTTATGTTTTAATTAGATTCTTCTATGCAAAATTTGAGACAAAACTACTAAGTTTTCTCTTGAGATAAACTTTTACGATACAAATATTTTAGTGGTATTCAAGGAATTTGACAAACACTAAATAGGTCAGTGCCTGGATTTGCTATAGTGATGCTTTAACCATTAGTTGGTTACCCATATTATTTTAGGTAGAGAATAAGTAGCTATTTGAAAGGTAGCAGCTTTTGTTAGTATGTTGGTACATAATATTGATTAGTGTTAATCGTATAATCAGCTGTGAGATTTGTGTAGTTGATTGTTACAATATAATACCTACACAATCCACAATATGATATAATCACCTTTACCTGTATTTATTATATACTATACCAGGTAAATAATTCATTTATATACCAACACTAGATGAAAATAAATACAAGTTTTATTTATAATAATGTGAAATACAAGTAGAATATACAGAAATAGATTGTATATTTATTTATAGTGGAATGACGTACAGAAATGGTTATTAAAACCATCAGAACAACCAGTTATATTAAACCGCTCTTCTTCTACTAATACCAGCAATCCCTTCGCTCCTACCTTCTGTTACGGTGTTCATGATATTATATTTGAGGTAAGTTTTTCCTATGGAAAACAAATCTTTGAAAGATACGATAGATGTGAGAAGTGATATCAGGTTTTCTTGAGACAACATGTATACCCTGTTTCTTGCTTATAACTAATTAATGCTTAAAGTCATCCATGCTAACTCGAAAATCTATGTCAATAAATCCTGCTGGGTGCCTTTTAAAAATTCTAACTTTTCCTGTAAGCTTCAAAAGTCAGATTGTGAATGGAAAGTTAACACCACAAAATGTGTTTGAAACTTAAAGATCAGTAATCTTTGATTTGCGATCGAAATTTGATTTCATGAACAATGACAACAATATACAGCAACATTAAATATTGACGTATAAAAAAAGCTTTTGGGATAAATAACAAAACTAAGTAAATAAACACAAACCGATGTAAAATGGTATATGCGTAAAGATGTTAACAATTTCAATCTACATGAGAGATCTGAAGTGATTTGGTTGAAATTAATTTTAATTCCATATGGTCTTCGGTAGTTTCAGAAAATGATAATTATAATCACACTATGTCCTGTATGATAAAATATTGACCAACAAAGTAAACTAAAATCGGAAAAAGTGATAAGTGAAATAAAATATTAATTAAATAATTTTCACCATTTACTCCTACTTGAAAGATGTTAATGGAATTTGTGTTGATTTTTTTTTTTTTTTAGGTCATGCAGAATCAACATATAGCATCAGTTACTATTTATCAGTCCAAAGAATCCCTCTCTTGATGTTATACCATGACATTTTATTGGCTACACATAGACCAATGAAAGAGGCTTTTATATAGAAACAGCCCATCTCAGGCCACTTTTCATATTCACTTTAATGGGATGTATATATAACTGAACATTTACTACAATAATTTGTCAATTTTCATCTCTCAAAGAGGTTTCCCTCTTTTTCTTTTTTTTTTGTGGTGTAGGTATTTGAAGCTCATGATATTTACAATAGAACATCAGATTGTAAAATTTTTTTAATAGATATTAGTAGAAATGTGTTTTTTAAAAATATATTATTATGAGTGTGTACTTACCATTTTGAGTGTAATATAATATATATTATAAAACCTCATTTGTATATATGACCAATAGTAAGAGAAAATAACAAAAAATATTGTATTCTCCTCTCTGTGATATTAATATATAGTCGTCAATTAAATGGGAAGTTTTTATTTTTGTGTTGGCTTTTAAGTGTTTTTTTCTCTTCGATAAACAAAAATATGCGATACTTACTGAAGTTTCAATTTATAAAATACACCTTTATTGAAAGTAATCCTAATAGTGCTAATAGATGAGATAGTTTTATATTTGGCTTAACGGTAAGTGTAAATGTTTAGTAAGTTGGTAAGTGTAAGATAAGCTTATACGTGTCCTTAGAATGCAATTTATACATTCTTTCCATTTTCCATGATATTCTCTGTAACATTTAATTTATGTAGCTTCATGTACATTTAAAAATTTTTATTTAGGAACAATAATTAGCTAACATAGCATTATTTGATTTTAACAAACCTAATTAATAGATATTGATTTTAATTTAACATCTGATGATGTGGCATGACAAAATTCCAATTTAGTGTGTCTCTAATTACAACCTAATACCTTGAAACACATTAAAATACAACTTACAAAGACAGAAACAAATTGAGAAATATATTTTATGGATAGATTATTTATGAATTATATATTTTATGCTTTTTTTTTTAATTATAAAGATGATTAGTTTTATTATGTATATACGTTTTTTTTTTTAATTCAAAGTATTAGTTGGACTCAAGTAGTCGAATATTTTAGATATTGAAAAATTAATTTCAATTATAACTATTTGAGCTTGCATTGTAGGAAGAATATTCTAGTTAGATTCGTTGAAAAGACAGTTGCTAATTTATTTTCGCACCAAAGGGCATTTAAAAGCAAATCAACTATTGCTAATTTATTTTGGCACCAAAGGGCATTTAAAAGCAAATCAACTATAAAAATCCTTTCAGGTTCTGCATTTCTCTAACCTCCGAATCTTAGCTCATTAATAAAAAATAATCAAATATATTTACATGTACTTGTCTATTTTCCGATATATATCCAAATTTTTGAATAACAAAAAAAATTTTTTTTATTGATTGTGGTGTATGATTTGATTATAATAAATATGTAGAGGAAAAAAATAATATAATTATAAAGTAAAATATTGTAATCAGCCAAAAAAAAAATACAATTTATAAAAATAGAAAATATGAGAGTTATTGCATGCAAATTATAATTGTCACTTCTTGCATGATATTTTAAATAAAAAGTTATTCAAGCAGAAAATTATAATTTCATTTACATCATTGACTACTGCTATTCTATTTTATCAGTTATATATCAGGATGGGCAATCTATATATAGATATATATGGCAGCACATATAATTAATAAGATATATCTTTAATAATTCTGTGCAGTTTTAAAAATACATTATATAACGTCAAATGCATTTATTAGTTACCTATATGTACTTAATAAGTTAATGGATTAAAAGAAAAAAAACCCTAACACCTTGTTAATGAGAAAATATGATAGAAGTTAAAGATATGTGTTCTGGGGATATTCTTTGTCTGTTTTATTAGCCATTTGAAAAAATTTTATTCAACTACTAGCCACTTTGTGTGAGGGGGTGGGAAATGAAAGTGTATCTTTGTTGGGTTTATGATGATTGGGGGCCATTTCGCCTTCATAATCTTAAATTTATGAGTGAACATGTGATGCAAGCTGCTGCTCTGGATGACTAGCTTTCAACGTCATCTTTTAGTTTGCTTACGAAATGATCAGTAATCCCCCCAGTCATTGGAAATAGCAGTAATGTCAATAGATGATTGGAAAATCAGTCGAGCTACATTAGAGATATACCCATGAGAGATATACCCAATCTGGCATGACATCTATATTGAGAGGCGATTGAAAACAATTTTGACAAAGGATACACATACATAATATCATTGAATATAATATCTGTGAAATAAATTTATCTATAACTGATCAACCCCTTTTAGAAAATAACACCTTGTATCTTTGAAATCAGAACAACACTTGGTAATGTTGTCTGAATTATATATAAGCATATCTGTGAAATTCCTGAAAACGACATAAACATCCATGTATTTATATTGTTTAATTATTATCTAATTATAAATTATTTAAACTGATGAAATTCCCTCCGTGTTAATAAATGTACGTACTATAAGCAAGCACTGTTTCATGATATTACGATATTAAACTTATTGCGTTAATATTATAGAATTGTTTGTGTTTTAGGATGTACTGTAATTGATAAATGTTGGTGTATATGTATTTTATTTAATGTTCTTACAATGTAAAATATGTGTAATGATAAAATGTATCATATGCTTGAGGTGATATCTGCAGTGCAATGAAAACTAATCAATTTATTGGATGTTAGAAAGCCAATGATTTCAAATACATCTTTTAACATTTTTAGATAAAAAAAAAAACATTTTTGTGATAGATATAATGAATTTGAATTTGATGTTTAAAATAACAGTATGATTGTCCCTTAGAAAAGACTGTACAAAATGATGTATTATTATAATACTATGTATTTGTATTTAAACCTGCATTTTTCATATCTTTAAAACAAAAAGTCACATTCCTGGATCATTATAAAAAGTTGTCAGAATACTGGATTTTAGATATGTAGTTGCCCAGAATCACTAGCATTTTATCCTTTAAAATACCATGGTTTTATTATCATTTATCTTAAATACAATCTCATACATTATACTTATTGGTTCATGTTTATACATATACATGTAGTTTGTATGCTATAATATGCTGTACATAGCTGTATTTATACTGTGTACAAAAACAGTTTTACAAATAAATATAAACATTTATCATAATATTACTATTATTACCTTCAAACAACAATATCATATTGGGAGATTGTGTACATGTAAATTGCTCTATGCAAACTTTAAAGAAAAAAGCTCATTATCTCAATATTAGCAACTTTGACCCTCTGTTTGATAAACGTGAAGGAAATACAGACTAGATGTAAACTATATTTTGATATGATGTTAAAGTGATACTAATATCTGTGATGTTTAATTTTGGAGGTCGTATATATAATATCAGTGAAAGTTGAAAGATAGTTTTTCTTACGAGCAGATGTAACAATGCCTTAGATACTCTTTTAGATGCTATTCTGGGGGAATTAGAAAGTTACCTATATAAATTCTGTGTTGTTATGTTATCATCAATCACGCCAGTCCGTCTGTCCACAATCAAAAATCTACTTTGAAACAGTTAGTGATGGTAGGAAGCTGGGTCACCTATACCATAGCTTTCAGTTTCTGGAGGGATTGGACTATTTGCTGGTAACTGTTTTAGTATTCCTCTTACTCTAAGTTATATATAACAGTGCTTCATGGGTTTTTTCGGCTTTTAATACATAAAACCACTGTTTTAATAAGATTTCACATATAATGTGTTTGATTAATTTATAAAGTGTGTTTTATAGAAATATTCCGTTTTAATAAAATAGCATTATCGTTGAATGTGTTTGAAGATTCTTTCAGTATTGTTAAACAGTCTGTCATATCAAAAACGAATACTGTGTTTCACACAAGCAGCAGATACAAAGAAACCCACAAGATAATTAGAATGTAACATATATAATCACAAAGGATGTTTTTCATAAAATTTTATACCTGTATATAGCAAAATGTTATTTTATGGATGCTTATTTGTAGTTTCAAAAACAAGGCATTAAATTTCACTATTATTTTCATTAAATCTATAAAGAAAAACAAAAAAATAAATTTAATTGTTTAAGGTCTATATTAAAGTAACTATTAACAAACATTTATTTCTTAAATCACATGTGTCTTTAAAACTCAGTTAAGATTAATATTCATTTTTTGCACATATCAACACAAAAAGGATATTTTCTTTATAATCATAGAATTAAGATCTCTTGCCTTGTAATTAAAGTGTTTTCTAAATATCTATATTTATACTTTGTTAGGCTGTTAGTTATAGTGTTTTGTAAGAAACCATGGACGGCACCAGTTTTAAGAAGATGGATTAATAAAATTTCACTCTGAATTATCAACATATTTTAAAAAGAATTTTAATAGGACATGAGGTTGGCCTTCTTCAAGTCTGAACATTTGTATCAGCTTTGTGTTATTTTATCTGTTGTTATTTTATGAATTTTAATGAATGTAGCTACTCCAAGTAAATAATGTATATTTTATTTCACTGTCGTACTTCCTCAGCTATATACACCTGTATATATATTTCACTATTAACTTATATGTATGGAACAAATGTGTATGGAATTCAGTTAATGTTACAAGACAAGGAATGGCAATGAAATAAAGGTTTTCTCAAATCATTTTGTTATGTTGAATAGACGGAAGTGTGATAGATGATATTATCAATCACATTAAACAAGCATTTGTATAATATTACCATTATTTTCAGTTTAATTTCAGGGTATATTAATTATTATTATCAGTAAAATAGAAATTTAATTTGTCCGATCTCAGATCTGTGTACCTCCTTTTCAACATGTTCCATGTGCATTTGCCAATATGTTGTTGATTTTTTTTTTTTTTCCTTTTTTTAAAAGAAAAACAAATATTAAGTCATTTTCCAGTTATCTGAGGTATAATGTAATAAAATATAGAGAAAAATAAACAAAATAAAATATTTCACATCTCCTATTTTTGTTTTTCATTTGTTATAAACAGCAATCCTTGCACTAGCTGGTCAAGTAATACATTAATTTAATAAGCACCACTTGAGATGAATTTCATGATTTGGACTTGTCTTGAGTATGGTTTAAAAGCTATATAAATAAGTTTAGTACTACATGTTGGTTTTTAAAAATATATCATACTGTTATTGTGTATTTAACCTTGCTGCACTCAGAAAGTTCGAAGACATTTAGAAGGACTTTCCATGTTACATACAGCATTATTTTTGAGATACAAATTAATGGGAGGAAACTCCATTAATTTCACTCTGACCTCAAATCTGTTATTCTTCCGCTTGTGAACCTTGAGTATTTACCAAAACCTGTTGTAAATGTGAATTTATATCCCCTTTTATGATTCTTGACCAAAAATGGCGACAAAGTATATCATTGTCAGAGTACCAAGATGGTAGAAGTAAATGGGAGATCTGCCTCCAACAAAGGAAGGACATGTCAGAGTTCATTCTGCAGATAGCAAATTCAACACATAGAAATCTGGTTAGGGTTACTCAAATCAAAACGTATTAAACCATTGTATACCAACTTACTATAGTTGTATCTAATATTTGGGTTGAAGCATTCACAAAACCCACCATCACTTATGACTTCACATGAATCATTCGATATATTAAAAATTAAGGATTTATTGAGAATAATTGCCTGATTGCCTAAATCTGTATTAGCTATACTAAAGTCAACAGCAGGAACCTAACATTTTTGACCGAGTTCCTTATGGTTTCCAATTCCAACATTAGTGATAATGGCATACCATCATAGGGTTCAGAATAGTTTAGATCAAAATCATTATGTAAACCAATTAGCTGATTCTGCCATTATAAAGAGATTCTTATTAAAGAAAAGATGCATAATGTAAGATTTAGATAAAGAGCTGGCTGTTCTTGCTATAATAGTTCCAAAATAGATAATTCAAAATTAATATATTGAAAATTTCAGTCAAATTACTTTATTCTGAGCGAGCTTATCACTGTTTGAAGTTTTGAGAAGATGTGGTCCAGATTGTTTATTATCGTAGCAATGTTACTTGTCAATCGAGACTCAGTCTTGCTTCTCCATTTCTAAATTAAATCATTAAATGACGATTGTATTTCAATCGGATGAATTGGTTTACATCTCCGCCATCCAATGTTCTAGAAAGTTGATTATAGGCATGTCATGTGAATAATGTCTAAATAATAATTTATATATTTGAAGCCAAAAAAAACCCCTGCAATAGGCAGATTTAGCTCTTACATAATGCATCTTTAATAATATATAACACATTTCTATGTCCTAGAGATTTGATTATAGACTTGTCATGTTAATAAATGTCTAAATAATAATTTATATAACATTCGAAGCCAAAATAAAAAAAACCCTGCAATAGGTAAATTTATCTCTTACATAATGCATCTTTAATAATATATAACATTTCTGGTGTTTATAAACTATGTTTATTTTGATATTTTCTACAAAAATTGATTTGAGTAAATTATATGTATCATATTCTACAAAAGTTTATTTAAATTACTATAAGAGTCAATATTGAAGACTTAACATGTTTTATATACATTATTATATAGGTAAAGTACAAAGTTTTATAATAATATTTGTATATCAATTAAAGGCACAATAAATATATAAAAGGATGCCACACAATGAGGATGGACACAATCATTCTTTTCAGACAATTATTAAGCACTAACCTGAACAGAAAACCCCAAGCTATTGAAAATCAATATTTCTATATATTGGTAAAAAGAAATAACAAAAACAACAAAAACTAAAAGAATATCTAATAATCAAAAATTTGAAGCATATCAACAGCTTTAAAGCTTATATTACATATATCTTTTAAGCTACATGTATTTTCATTTTGGTCAAGAACATTTCTGCTTAGGGTATAATTATTGTATATAGTATATACATAATTTAAATTCTTAACATAATGTAAAAATTGTAACCTATGCATGAATGTATAAATTTTAAAACTTTTGCAAATATATATGCAGTGGCAAAGTTGAAGATTTAGCAATTTACACATCAATGAATTGAATGATTGAACACATATCGGATGATCAATTTATACAAATATAAAACTTGTTCCATTGTGTTATATTGCACAAAGAAGACATCTGACCTAATTTAGGACTTATAAATGAAGGAGGTAATTAACAGGTAGACATATAAACAATGTTGGAGACAGATGATACATGTTGAACATTTCAAAACAAGTTATCAAAGAATATATTATTGTCCAAGACGACAAAGGGTATAGAGCAGTCTGCTCTTAGCAAATAATTTATACATAGACACGATGAAAATGAACCACTTTAATAAATGAATAATTGTAAATCTCATTGGAAAGCAACACTTTAATCTTGCAATTCTGAATGTAACCACAGACCACGATCGTGTAAATCTATCAATTCTCTTAAATACAAAAAATGGAATTTAACAATATCAGAATTTTGAAAACCACAATATCATATTGCATGCATGGGACAGGAAATATGGTTTTAAAATGCTCGGGTCAATACAATTCCTACAGTTCTGTGGAAGACGCAACGATATGCCACGGTTGACACTGAGGATGTGCCATTGAGTTTATTCAAGAGGGCATGACCAATTCTGATTCAATGTTTGAGTATATACAGCACGTTTCCATAGACTTCTTGAACCAAAACACTGTGGCAGTGCTCTAATGGCCATTTGAGAATATATGGGGCAATACCGGTATGCCTAAGTTTCAATGCAAAGTAAAGTTGTTATGGCCTCCATGGATTATAGATTTTCTTGTGTCGGTTAATGTCCAGCCTATAATCATTGTGTCTTAGTATATTTTAGAAATTAATTTTGTAGATTTTCACTAATAATATGAGACACCATGATGGCAAGAGTTCAATCAAATTATGAGCTAATTATGAAAATTAGTTGCATACACATTTCCTTAAGCAAATATTAACAAACAGTACTCACAGGTTAACTTATTATTGAAAAAAAAAAGTACATGTAAGCGAAATTCTCGCTTTCCACATGATAAATTATGAATGATTTGAGACACCTAAAATGAAGATATGAGTATTATGATCAGTATCATGTATATAGTATCAAAATCTTATACACCATAACCCAGTTATAGATAATATATAAAACAAATATTTCTGTTACAACCATATCCTAAAATAATTTGAAATCATATGTTAAATGTGATCCATTACCAGTATTACTAATTTCAATGCTCATTTTTTTTTTTACTTTGCCTCTTGATTCTGTACATCACCCTAAGAATTTTGATATTCTTCCATATAAAAAGCATAATTTTCATCATGTAGTAATTTATCAATTATTAAATTTAATTTCTTCTTTGACAATCTGGACACAACTTATTCAATTCTATTTAAAAGTAAATAGATAATAAGTCGATATATATTATATATATGTTGTATTCTATTAAAGACAAATAAATAATTTAACAAGATATAAAATAACAATCTTTCCATTTGTATTCTTTATGCTGAAGCTGCATCTTCACGTGAGAATATCTGTGATGAACCTGGATGCATCCATGACAAACCACTGGGTCTATTAGATTCTTCACTTGCACTTCTCTGTAATATAGTTTGTTAAATATTACATTATTCTCAACTTACATATACAAATATTACTTTTTCATTATTTTTTTATGAAAATTTTTTCATCAAATTTTTTTTATCCTTTTACAACATTTTAAACTTAAATAAACATAAACTAAAATTTCACAAACTCGTGAGACTGATTATCAAATATCAACATTATAATAATTACCCCAAGATGTAACATTTGTTTCCTAGCTTCTTGATATGTTTCATCATCTAATGGACTAATACTGAAATATATTAATATGTTGTCTTTTATAAATTAAACTACTTTTACATTATGGCAAAATGTATATGATCACATTGATATATACATCAAAATAAGGTCTTCATTATTTCATATATGCTTCCTCTTACTGAAAGATAGCCATTTTGTCAATAAACTATACTTTAAACATGCAAGCTCCAAACAATTCTACCTGTTTCTAATGGAAGATTTGGTAGTTAAAGTAGAAATTATCATAAGAAATATAATTGATTTTATCGTGGCCTTCACGTTTTAGACACGCCATCGCTCTTGGCTACATCGCTTGGCCTCGGCGGGTGTTATTCATGTCTACTTCGTACTTACTTCCCATTAATTATCTCAGTACTGATGTCAATCACGATCACAGAATGTTTTAATAATCATTTTCTTACGCCATTTTAATAATTTTCCAAGCCAAAGAAACATTGACTGGGTAACTAAATGTGCCTAACACAACAAAACTATACCCATCCGAAAGTGCTCCCTATTATTAGCTATTATAATAAACAACAGTTAACTTATTTTCTGCTAATCCATAATGCACAACTTTTGCCAAGACATTTTGAAATTCTCAGCAATAGTGGTATTATCCTGCGATCTCACATGAAAATACTACACTTTGTTTACCATATACAGCATTTCACACTACAAAAATAGTAAGCTGGTTAATTTTGGAGGGAAAACTTTAGGCTTGACACAGGTGTGAATAACAAACAAGACCCGATAATACGTGGAAATCGATTGTCATGCCTTTTGACGAGTGATTTTAGCTATTTATGAATTTTAAAATACTATTTTATAAAGAATATAAACGATGTTTAGACATTATGAACTACAAGTATTGAGGAATATTATTGACATAATATTGAGGTGCATCTATTTTTCTGTTTTATTTAAAATATAAAAGAAACATGATAATAGCAATATAGTGTTTTATTCTTCAAATAAAGAACATTACATATGAATGCACATGTCATCTTCTGACCGCGATTGCAGGAGAGTGATTTTCAATTTTTTTCAATCCCAGGAGAATTTTTTTCAGCTTCCCATGAATTTTAAGATGTGAAGCTCTGTTTTATCCCAAGATCTAATGAATATTAACTTACTTTAATGCATATGGATCATCTGATGATGGTTTTTTTTTTACATTTTCTTGAGAAACACGAACTGTTTCTGCAACTTTCTTTTTAAATAAATCCATATCTTGTTCATATCTAAAACCCAAAAAAAACCTGTCTATTTTCTACAATTACTCAACAACAAATTTCCGTTACACAGAAAAGTCTATGCAGAATGAAAAGGTTAAGTTCTCTCATGGGCATTCACAAATCTATATTGTTTACTAAATTCACTGAAGGTCTTTGAAGTCTCATAACCATCATGAATAACTAATATATTCCAGAATTGTAGAACATCAAAATGGATCAAATCCTGTGACTTTGTTCACAAAATGGTTATTTTAAATCTTTCATCAGATTTCCTATAGATGTTTGCTATTATCTCCATTTTAACTTACAAATTTTGGCTACCGGTATATATCTATATGTCACAAATCATAAAATTGAGATGGAATATTTACACAGTCAAGACAACATCCAGATAACTGGGTATTATGTATTGGTTAAAATGGTAAAATTGTGAAAAAAAGATTCAAAATTGAAATGAAACAAAATCTTACAAATTAGCTGCTTCTTTATTCCATGGATTAGCAGTATCTATTTTATAAAATATTCTTCTTACATACATTAAAATCTGCCATAAATGATTTACATTACGTCTGAAAGAAATATTACAACCATTACAAGTATTTATATTTTCACTAAAATGAACTTTTTGAAAATATATCATAAAATAAATAGTTTTCTAGAAATAAACAAGGCTTGAACTTCAACTATAGAATCCAGTATGGGAATTACCTATTTCAACCATTGTGTAAATACTATAATACAAGCCAACAGTGAGGCAGATGTCCCCCACCGAAATCACAAAATAAATAGATGACACATTAATTAATTAATCGCACATTTATTTTTTTCAAAAGTATCGAGCAATCAAACTATCTATACACTAAGTTTCATCACTCTCTATCAGATAGAATCAAGATTATCTTGTTCCAAAGCATCGACCAATGTAATTGATTAGCTCTGCTTAGCTTTAGCTCAAAATGTTAATCATTGAACTCAGTCAAGACATTCACCTAATGAACATCTACATCAAACATTCTACCTCAATTAAAAGCAGAGTTGTTATGTTCCAAAGTCTTGACCAATCAAATTGCTTATCGTTCCTTAGCCTAAGCAGAAACCAGTTATCGTGCCCCAAAGCATCAACCACCGTAAGCAGACAATGTTCATCATTGAACTCCATCAAGACATTCACCTAATGAACGCCTACATCATTTTTGAACATTCTACCTCAGTTAGAAAGAGAGTTATTGTGTCGCAAAAAGTGTGACGGGCAGACAGACAGACAGACGGACACAGGCGCAGACAGACAGATCATTTTAATAGTCCCCTGCTTTCTTCGAAAAGCGGGTGACAATAAAGAATAATATTATAAGACTGAATACCTCCACTTGGGAAATCCTCTTTTTACATCTAAATCTCCTGTTACAGGATGAATAATAGGATGGAAGATTGGAAAATCAAAAAGAAGTTGCTGAAAATGAAATATAGAGGGTTAAACACAGCAATGCTATAAAAATATAGTTATGGTATTTAAACTAAAGTATAAATAACAATAATTAAAAAGTCAATTAAAGATACATTATGGAAGATAAGATAAAGAGATGGCAGTTCTCGCTATAATAGTTAAAAACTAGATAGTGTAAAGGTAATTTGCAGAAAATTTCAGTCAAATTGATCCACTATGAGCCGAGAAAGAAGCAGGTGAAATTTTTGCATAGTCTCGGTCATCATTACTAAAATCATTAATATAAACAGCATAGTCTCGATTATCCACTTTTTTTTGATTTAATTATCAATAGCCGTTAGCGGCATATAGGAATCTAATCCAGCCAACATCGAAGGCTAGCCTTGACATTGAGAGTTTATTATGGTCTGGATAAGTTAATTAATGTCTAATTGATAATTTAGATTACATTTCAGGCCTAAAGAAAGACTTGTAATAAGAGGACTTTGCTCTTGCATAATTAATCTGTAAATATAAGTAAATGTATCTGATTTAAATGACAGTCTCAACTTACAGCACTATAATTTTAACGATGTAAAATATGCATTTTAAGACTGCTAATCATCATCTGACTCAATTTGAGGGACTTTAAAAGTTTCTAAACAATATAGGGATTTTGAAAGTTTGAAAACTACAATATCTAAACAGTTTAATGGCCCCCCCCCCCCCCAAATATCAGTCTTTGTGAATGTGATAACATTGATAAGTAGTAAATGATAACTTACAGGACAATCACTATCAGGATATGTATCTGGAATGGTCATAGTAAAACGAAACACGCCTTCTTGATATAATCCTTCTCTAACAAATATAAAACCATTCCATACTGAAAATGGTACATAACAATTATTGTTTTTTTTCCATTTTTTTAGCAATAATAATATTTCATTTTAATGTACTCAATATGTATTTCACATTAAAGCCATGGGCACTTTTTATTTTAATATTAAACAATATTCTATTCATTTGGACCCCTCTCCAGAACTTGACGACTTGCTGGTATTACTGAGGACAATATTGAAACATAAGTCAACCATACTACAACATTCACTGAAATTGTGCCAGGGGGGAAATGTAATGTATTCACAAATAAAACTTACCAAAAGGTGATAATGCTGATGGCATCACATAAACACCAGGTATTTTCTGGTTTTGTACCTGATTACTGTAAGATAAATGATATATATAGACAATTTAAATTTAAAAAGTTGTGATACCAGTATATACAGTATAGCTTATATAATATCTATTAACCATGCCAAAAAAAGTACCAGCTAAAACTCTAGACAACAAAGATTGAAATACCTGTTAAAGACTATCTAAAAATGTTCAATAGAGTTAAATCGATACAATTACATTTTCTTTAAAAATATTAGTGGAAGTCAGAAGGGCAACAGCTTTAGTTTTGCTTTTGGCTTAAACTGTCGTCATTGAAACAACTATAAAAAAAAATCAGTTTTATCTCAACCCTGGTTCAATTAGTAGACCCAAACTATTAAATACAAACAGTTGCTTGCTTTACAAAGAAGATCAATGCATTAAATTTAAATAATTTTTATCCAAATTAAAGTCATTTTTTGATGTCTACATTTAGACAGAAAAATGAACTCAGCAATTGTAATCAATAAATAATTATAAAACTTACTATTCAGCCATAAGACTGTATTCCTGAAAGTAGGGATCATAACCATCTATTGCGTTAATAGTAGGCATACTGTTGTTAGAATGAATTCCTGGTGACTGTGTAATAATTCTAGGTGTAAGTGGTTGTTGATTAGTAGTATGAACAGGTGGCTTCACTTCTGCTACAGATAACACTTTCTATATATAATGAATAATAGATTAATACAGACAATATATATGTTAATTACACATTAACAGTTTATATAACTCATCTGTTCATTACCATGACATGAAAGACTATAATGGAAGGCAATTACTAATTATCTATCTTGTTTCATTTCTTTTAAAAGATTTTATTATTTTCATATTTCTAATTTATATAAATCCATTATAATAATTCTGTTTGTCAAATAGTGTCAATTTAATTCAATTACTGAATTTTTTTTTATTATGAATGATGTGGGTTTTCTTCAAATGAACTATTTTTTTTTTATTTTTTTATTTTTCATATCACTTCAATTATTTGTTCATACCATAGCAATTTGGACTGACCAAAGTCAAGACAACTAGAAATGTTATTAATTAAGTGATACAAAAATACAATAAAATTTAAATTACCTGAGCAGACAACGGGGTCTGAGACATTGCCAGTTTCAGTTCATATTATAACACAGGCTACTGTGTCATTGCTACACGATTATCTGAATAATAGATACAATAAATTAGTTATTTTGTCCCTACAGCGTCATTAATCAATAATCAGTTTTTAGAATAATAACAATCAGGAATATCAATAATTCTACTATACCTCATTTAATATCTAACACATAAAAATACTTTACTTCAAAGCACACGCCATCTATAAAATTGCAATAAGTTTAATACAGTGTTAATATAAAATAATAAGTTACTTAGTGCCACAACTATCTCTATTTTTACTCCAAACAAGTGTTTACTTTTGTCAGTGGGCCATACTTGTATGAAGTATGGAAGGATAATAAAATTCTGATCAAGAGTAATAATATTAATTGTACAGTGGTGGCAATGTTAATTGACTGTGGTGTGTTCTGTAACATTATATAGAAGTTGTAGATCAATATGTCACATGATTGATGTATTTAATTTCCACTTGGAAATCACACTTAATTCAGGGGATTATTTTATCACAAGTATCATAGGCCTACAGGTTTTACATGTTAAATTATATCATGCACCATATAAATATCTCACCTAGTGGCTATAATAATTATGTACATGGTTTTAAAGCAATACTTCCCTCTTTACATTAGGGTGCATCTATAGCCCCTCGATTTTTGAAAATTTTCAGCCCCCCTTCCCCTTTTTCTAATCTGTTCCTATTCCCGAAAAAAACAGTCTATGCAAAAAAAATAGACAGATTGGTCGATATTTACATAATAATTTAGGGGGTCCATGGCAGCCTGAAACCAGCGGCTGCCAGGCAGGATACGCCCACATTTTGCAACAGATGGATAGAGAACAAGCTAAACAAAAAGCAATTTTTCAAACAATCAAGGGCCATAATTCAGGAAGTTACGATCCGATATGCGCGAATATCGAAAGAAACCAAGGTCTTTGGGTTATAAAGATCTATTTCAAATTTCATCAAAATCAGATCAAAATTGTGACTTCCACAACCTTGATATACCATATATTTACACTATTTGCGTACGAGGGGTGGCCATTTTGTCCAGCAGTTTTGGTACGATTTTCACGAATTTCAAACTCAACCATCATTAGGGTGTAACAGTGATATACTAAAACGTTTTTTAAATCAGATAATAATTGTGACCTCTAGAGGGACCACAAGCAAAAACGCAATTTTTCATATAGTCAAGGGCCATAATTCAGGAAGTTACGGTCCGATATGCGCAAATATCGAATGGAACCATAAGATCTTTGGGTTATAAACATGTATTTCAAGTTTTATCAAAATCGGATCAAAAATTGTGAGCTCTAGAGAGTCCACAACCTTGAAATACCATATTTTTACATTGTTTGCGCACAAGTTTGGGTCTGATTTTCATGAAACTTCGAACTCAACCGTCATTAAGGTGTAATGGTGATATACTCAAACGATTTTTTAAATTGGAATAAAATTTTTACGCGATTTTTCATATAGTCAGGGGCCATAATTCAGGAAGTTACGGTCTGATAATCGTGAATATCGAAAGGAACCCAGATCTTTGGGTTATAAACTTACATTTCAAATTTCAACAAAATCAGATAACAATTGTGACCTCTATTGGGTCCACAAGCTAAAAATGTGATTTTTCGTACAATCAGGCGCCATAGTCCATGAAGTTTTGGTCCAATACATGCCAATATCGAAAGGAACCAGGATGGGATAAAAAATTGGGACCTGTAGAGTGTCCACAAACAATTGTGGACGGACGTCCGTACCGCCGGCCATACAGGGGCGACGACAATATACGTCCACATGAAAATTTGGGCGTATAAAAATCTGGCAGTAACCCCTGCTCAATTAATACTTTTTATTAGAAATGTAATTTATTATTGCAATTTTTTGTTGTTTTTTTTTTCAGAAAGGATTATTGGTCACACATCTTTAGATCACCCGATCAAGCAGTAGACTTTTGATTTAGGTGAACAAAACCTAGTAAACAATCATAAGGCACTTATTAACACCGACCCAGTTGAATTGTTCTGTGTGTAAATTTAAAGTCAATTGGATATTATCTTTAGCCTCCAGAGCATCCACAATATATTTGGAAGTGATCAAGGGCCATAACTCTGGCGGTAATTATTGGAAATTGCTGAAAATCCATATGCTTCTTCGTCTCAGGGCCTTAAACACTTTGTATAAATTTGAAGTCAATCGGATATTAACTTTAGCCTCTAGAGCATCCATATGATTTTTCAAAGTGATCAATGACCGTAATTATCGGAAATCACTGAAAATCTTTAGGCTTCTTCGTCTCATGACCTTAAACACTGTGTATAAATTCAAAGTCAATCGGATATTAACTTTCTCCTCTAGAGCCTCCACAAGATTTTTTGAAGTGATCAAGGGCCATAACTCTGATAATAATTATCGGAAATCACTGAAAATCAATAGGCTTCTTCGTCTCATGACCTTAAACACTGTGTATAAATTTAAAGTTAATCGGATATTATCTTTTGCCTCTAGAGCATCCATAAATTTAAAGTTAATCGGATATTATCTTTTGCCTCTAGAGCATCCACAAGATATTTGGAAGTCATCAAGGGCCATAACTCTGGCTGTAATTATCGGAAATTGCGGAAAATCAATAGGCTTCTTCGTCTCATGACCTTAAACACTGTGTATAAATTTAAAGTCAATCGAATATTATCTTTAGCCTCTAGAGCATCCCCAAGATATTTTGAAGGGATCAAGGGCCATAACTCTGGCAGTAATTATCGGAAATCGTCGAAAATCAATAGACTTCTTAAGCCTCTAGAGCGTCCACAAGCAAATGTGGATGGACGGATGCACAGACGGACTGGGGCGACGACAATATACGACCACATTTCAATGTGGGCGTATAAAAAGGATCTAGTAATCTTTCTACGAGTAGCCATGACTATTGATAAAGATATATTAAAGACAATGATTATAGAAATAATTGCAAGTGAGGTGTAGGGAAATGCGATCGAACAATTTATATCATTTTATGCCCGGGCGTAGCCCACAGACGGGTGTTGCCATGCTTGTCTTCATTTTGTGTGTAATGTGGTAATTTCCTGTCTGATTAGATACATCAACAAGGGGCCCTGTCAACAAACTGGTTGAACATAAAAATCTGAACTTCATATCCACTGGAGATTAATTATTAAAATAACTACTGAACACGTGAACACATCAGGTGTTGATTTAAGGAAAAATCAGTACGATACTTTATTTCATTGGCTCATTATTATCGTTTTCAAATAAACTTAGCTCATCTACACCGAAAACATTTTGTTCCACAATCGAAAAATGTTTGGTTTGACATTTTACATGGAATACTGCTGTGTTCTAATCAAATTCCATTCATTCATTCTTGATGTTTCATTTCTCCATCTTGCATGCTGACAGGTCACGTAAATGTGACCTATAGACCAGTCGCAGTTGAATTGAAATCATGTTGATTTTTTTTTTTTAAAAAAAAAGCTTCACTAATACTTCATAAGATTAATTATGAAATCAATATTTGAAAGCATACCTTTGGATTTTTAAATACAAAATAAGTTTGATTATTCAACATCATCTAATTCCAAAGAATTTACTACACGTGTTGCTATCACAAGCCATGTTGTATCGTATGGTACCAGTGACCCGTATGTCAACTTTGACCCCACAGCATTGCGCACTTGAGTGATCATATAAACAATTTTACTATTCTATTTTAATATTATTTCATCACATCATACTTGTTTCCTTTTGAGACTTTGTTTATGGAGTGATGAGGTTAATACTGTAAAACAATTAATCTGTCAATCAGTTGAGGCTATTTTATGCTTGGCAACGAGTGCTAATAACGTATACAAATGTCAAAACTTCGAGGGGGGGGGGGGAATTTAGAGTCATTAACTTCTCGCGACTTATTACAAATGACAAGTGCTATCTGAAATATTTATGTGGTTTTTGTGAAAGAAAACAATGTTGTGCCTTGTGGGTGGCTATCATTCCTGGGTTTGAAAGTCAGGTATCATATGAAAACAAAAAACAGTGCAACCGAACCGTGACCGGTTAATCGAGTGACCGTTTGCATATTGAGTTAGAGACTTACATGTAGCTTTAAAGATTTAAAGTTTATGTGATTTCAATTTTTCAAGAGAACTTTTTTATTCCATGAGATATTAAAATTAAAATTGTGCAATGGATTTTATTTAACGGGAGGAGATTTCATTCAAACACAGAGGTAAGTTTATTATAATAACCAAAGTGAAGTAGTTTGTTCATAATCGAAGAAATCTGGTTCAGTCAGACAGTGTAGTGACTAGTAGTAGTATTAGTGTAAGTAAAAGGTTCAAAATGTTGAAAATCAAACAATCAAAGACAAAGTTCAAGCTGTGTTTACCTTGTCGAACTTTTTGTATTATGATACACAATAATATCAAACACTATTACAGGGTACAGGTGTGTATCACATTATAAAATAACTAAAATGTCCATATACTATTCAAAAAAAGTAGGGGATATTTGATTTTGGGGGCATAATACTAAACAAGCCAACAGTGAGGCTGATGTCCCCCGCCGAAATAGGAAAATAATTAGAGGACACATATAAATTTATCACAAATTATCTTTTACAAAGTATTGAACAATCAAACAGTATATCTTTACTTCCAAAGCCTCGACCAATCAAATTGCGTATCGCTCTGCTTACCCTGAGCAGAAAATGCTCATTATCAAACTTAGTCAAGGTATTACTGTAATGAAACTATACACCAAGTTTCATCAATCTCACTTAATTAGAACTAAAGTTATCATGTCCCAAAGCATCAACCAATCAAATTGCTTATCTCTGCTTACCCTAAGCGGAAAATGCTCATCTTCGAACTCCATCAAGGCATTGACCTAATCAACACATACACCAAGTTTGAACATTCTAGCTCAATTAGGAAGAGAGTTATCGTGCCCCAAAGTATCAACCAATCAAATTGCTTATCTCTGCTTACCCTAAGCGGAAAATGCTCATCTTCGAACTCCATCAAGGCATTGACCTAATAAACACATACACCAAGTTTGAACATTCTAGCTCAATTAAAAGTTATCGTGTCCCAAAGCATCAACCAATCAAATTGCTTATCTCTGCTTACCCTAAGCGGAAAATGCTCATCTTCGAACTCCATCAAGGCATTGACCTAATCAACACATACACCAAGTTTGAACATTCTAGCCCAATTAGGAAGAAAGTTATCGTGTCCCAAAGCATCAACCAATCAAATTGCTTATCTCTGCTTACCCTAAGCAGAAAATGCTCATCTTCGAACTCCATCAAGGCATTGACCTAATAAACACATACACCAAGTTTGAACATTCTAGCTCAATTAGGAAGAGAGTTATTGTGTCCCAAAAAGTGTGACGGACAGACAGACGGACAGACAGACAGACGGACGAACCCATTTCAATAGTCCCCTGCTTTCTTCGAAAGGCGGGGGACAAATATGCAAATGACTACGAAAAAAGTCACTATAGAACCTAACAGAAGAAACATTTCCAGTTACATGTGACGCCCAAACGCACCAATAGCTACCGCATGGAATGCAGGTGATGCTTGGGATCATCATGGGGGTCCAACCCAAGATTTGCACGACTCTGACTTTGAATGTTACAGTCATTGTGGCATTGAATTCCAGGGTGGAAACATCAGTTTAATTGTTTTAGTGACCAGAAAACAAATTTTGATATGCGTCGGCTTACCCAAAATGAAAGGTTACGTGCCCTTGGCATGCTACAGATCGGCACAACACAGGCGGTTGTGGCGCGGACGATGAATGTTTCTCAGTCTGTCATAAGCAGACTATGGTCCAGATACCGTGATACACAATCTGTACAGGACAGACCACGCTCAGGTCGACCAAGGGCGACAACTCAAGCCCAGGATCGATTTATCCGTACCTTGGCCTTGAGAAATCGTGTCATCACAGCAAATCAGATCAGCGCTCGTCTTCAAACAGACAATGGTGTGAGAATGAGTGGCCAGACGATTCGGAATCGACTGCATAGGGGTCACCTTCGCGCCCGACGTCCTCGCGTGGTCCCTTGTTTGAGAGATCATCACATTCAGGCAAGACGTCGTTGGTGTAGGGATCGTCAACACTGGGATAATCGACGCTGGAGCAATGTGATGTTTTCAGATGAGTCAAGGTTCACTGTTGATTTTTGGGACAGACGTAGGAGGGTGTGGCGTCGTCGAAACGAGCGCTTCCAAGACGTTAACGTCATCAGACATGATCGATTTGGGGGTGGTTCTGTTATGGTGTGGGGAGGCATCACTGTTGCTGGAAGAACGGCTTTACATGTTGTTGCAGGGCGTGTTACAGGCCAGTACTACCGGGACAACATCTTGGCAGTCCATGTTGTGCCGTTCGCACGACGTCATGGCCGCCGTTTCATCTTCCAGGATGACAACGCAAGATGTCACAGGGCCAGGATCGTTACAGGTTACCTCCAACAACAGAACATCACCACATTACCTTGGCCAGCACTGAGTTCCGACCTCTCCCCCATCGAGCATGTCTGGGACATGCTTGGACAGAGGTTACGTCAACGTCAACAACGTCCTGCCAATGTCCAAGAACTTGCTGCTGCGTTGCAACAGGAATGGGACAATCTGGACCAAAATGACCTTAGACGTCTCATTAGGAGTATGCCACGTCGGATCAATGCTTGTTTGGCAAACAGAGGAGGATTTACCCGTTACTGACTTGGTTGTGATGCTGTGGTAACTTTGCTGTTTGACCCCGGGTATCATTTTACCCTTATAATGGTCAGTCTGTGCCTTACTTAGTCTAACGATCATTTGGAATAAATCGATGAATGTGAACTTCATTTCATTTTGTCATTTGTTTCTTCGTCAGTTTCATTAGATGACTTTAATAACACTTAAAAATCAAATATCCCCTACTTTTTTTGAATAGTATATATGGAATTTAAAAATAAATGTTGTTTACTTAGTTATCTGTTAATGTTTTTAGCTTGTATAAGCATTTCTGGAATATTTTTTGACACTACTGTCGCCTCCTGTAGAGTAAGGGAGATAACTCCAAACATAAGCGTTACTCGATTATCAAGTTGAACAAATTATTAGAGTTACAACTGAAGTGAATTGCCAAAAGAAGGAAGGGTTAGATAAGGGCTATTGGGATCTACCCATCGACATCTCCATCAGAAGACTATAAAAATACCGGTATATAAAATCACCCGGTCTGCTAAATAAGCGACCGTGATACCCATAAAATCAACTGGTCTGCTAGACAGGGGACCATTTCTAATCTGCAATAAAACAAACCCCACTTCTGACTTCATCTAATCAACCCTCTTAGTCTTAGTAGTAGTTCTTGGTGTTTAACGTCTGCTTCCACATAAGTGATATCGCAGACCTCTTAGTCTTTGTAGTCTTAGTCTTAATATAGGCCAACAGCAGTGCACGTCAAGATTATGCAAGATTTTGGGCGATCCATATAGGTACGGTAGTCGAGTTAGGCATCCCATTAAAGGCTTAATACCACTCTTGTTGTAACTGAATAATATGTCTCAATCTTTATTCTGGTAAACAAATTGCACTACTTTACAATATTCCAATTAATTGATGATACAAATTTCATCTCAAAGGAGCTAAATCGCTAATATTTGAGACCTAGAAATTGACCCAAATAGGTCGCAACGCATATAATAATGTAATTTGATTGTATATAAACTGATTTACATTCAATTGTTTCCGTTTTGACTCTTAATTTCAAATCAGTTATGTCCAGCGAAATACGGCCTGTGTCTCAACCGTATAGCAATTTCTAGTGTCTGGTTATTCCAGTCTATTGAGCAGCCTAGAGCAGGTTCCCCAGTTGAATATGTCGAGCCTCGTTCTTTCTGGTCACTTGTTGCAAATGACGCTAAAACGCACTATGGTACACGATTCCAGTCTATTGAGCAGGTTCCCCAGTTGAATATGTCGAGCCTCGTTCTTTCTGGTCACTTGTTGCAAATGACGCTAAAACGCACTATGGTACACGATTCGTGTACCAATGGTAAAATGTTTATTCTGTCTTTAAATATTGGATATCAGAAGCCTGTCTTTTCCTGGTAAGATTACAACATCAATGTTGATTTGAATTGACAAATAATTCATATTTTCAACGTGTATGACTTTGGATGATATTGAGTTAGAGACACACCTAATTTAAAAAAATTTAAAAAATTCAACTAAATGATTTGAAAAGCCTGATGTAAAGCTTTTCAAATGTGACTTGGATTTAAAAATATTTTTGAACCCTCTGGACAACTAAAATAGGATTTAATGGATAATTTACACAACAGGTACGTAAGACACTAACACATCTAGTACTTAGAATAAGGCTATTTTTTATTTTCTGGAGCTGTCAAGCCAGCAAGAGTGTTATTGCCCCTTTAATGTGGTTGAGTTGGGGAGAGCCAAACCTACTCTGAATGTTAGAAACCTGTCAAGTTACGAAATCACTACACAACCATAGAAATTCTATGGTTACAACTTACAACCATAGGTTTTTAACACAACTCTATATCATAGTCTATGGTTACAACTTTGGTCAATTACCCCTAAGTACCACTAGGATTTCCAGTCAATAAACTCAGTCAATAGTTGGAAAAAATACCTAATTATCAGACTACTTTTGTCCCAAAAATCGAACATAAAACTATTCGGCTCTTTTACAGCTATGACTACTCGATATCATCTTAGTTCATTGCCAATGCTGCTTATTATTGAGCGACTGCTTTTATCGACTTAGCTATTCAACTGGGTGCAGTGTCAAGAAAACTTCTCATCAAATAACTCTAATAATTCAGTCAATGGTTGTGCCTATTTAAACTGCCAAAAGCACATTTACAACTTAATTGATCTGGGATGAAGACCATGTGTGTGGATTTATCTAAAGACAACTGTGCTACATTTTACTTTCTTACTGTTTAATCCCATCAGAGTATTGTTTTCATTTTTTCACCATCAGGTTTTATCGACTGAGATATTCGACTGGTTTTATCGACTGAGATATTCGACTTGTTTTATCGACCGAGATATTCGACTTGTTTTATTGACTGAATTATTTGACTGGGATATTTGACTGGTTTTATTGACTGAGATATTTGACAGGTTTTATCGTCAGGACGAGGCCACAAGAAAATATTGAGCGACTAGTTTTATTGACTGGGATATTTGACTTTTTTCAGGCAAAAGTAGTCTTATGATCTAGCTATTTAGGTGTACTTAACTGGAGAGTAATGTTTTTGGCCCCGTCTTCTAAATGAATAGAATCCTACATATGCTGGGGGTACTGGACGAGACAGGTTTTTTTTTGTGACCTCTTCGAGTCGAATATTTCAGTGTATATTTCAGTGGCTTAGCGAGTAAGATGCTGGCTCGCTAGTCTGAATGTTGCCAGTTTGTTCTCAGTATTGGCCAAAAAAGTTTGTCAGGATTTTTTGGGTGGTTTCCCCTTGTCAGTGGCACAGAACGGAGGGCCTGACAACAAAGACAGCTGTCTAGTCGTTTGGATGGAATGAAAAACCAAGGTCCCATGTACACATTGGCATTCACGTAAAAGATCCCCTGGCAGTTGGAATTCGATATATAAGAGTAGAACACTGTATGGCGTATGTCCACTTCATTAGCCCAGTCGGTGCACAACAGTAGGACGTTAAATTTCATTTCATTAAGTAGCAGGGTTTTACGGTGGCTAAGTGGTTAAGACACTGGGTCGCTAACCTAGAGGTCGGGTGTTCGATCCCTGCATTGGCCGAAAAAGTTCATCCAGATTTTCCAGTGTGATTCCCCTTTGTCAGTGATGCAGGACGGCAGGCCTGACAAGGTTAGCTGTGTAGTCGTTCAGATGGGACGGAAAACCGAGGTCCCGTGTACACATTGAAGTGCACGTAAGAGATCCCTTGACAGTTGGAATTCGATATAAGAGTGTGCCGCTGTCCGGCCAAAATTCCCCTCAGGGAATGTAGCTCGTCGAGTGTGTTCTCTAAGTATTGGAAATGAATACAGATTCTTGGAATACATCTTCAACTCTTTATTTCAGGAGCAAATAAATAACAGCAACAATCAAACAACTTATAACTTCTTATAAATCGGTCCTCAAACTAGTATATAGGTTCCCTAAGCTGGTCTCTGGAGCAGAACCGTAAGACTTTAAACTCCATTTCATTTCATTTCATTAAGTAGCCCTTTCATGCTCATATTTACACGGTTCGAATTTCAGGGAATGTATCTCATGGAGTGTGTTCTTTAAGTATCGGAAATGAATACAGATTCTTGGAGTAGATCTTCAACACTTTATTTCAGGAGCAAATAAATAACAGCAACAAGTAAACAACTTATTATAACTTGCTATAAATTGGTCCTCCAACTAGTATACAGGTTCACTATCATGGTCTCTCCAACTATAATTCATCCTTTGTCTTTTTATATAAATTCGAGATATATCACCGTAAACATACGAAAACTATGGGGGAATCGGGTAAGGGTAGGCTCATCACGCTCCAAGATCTTTATTTTATCAAATCGACAGATGCATAAGGTATAAACATGCCAAATTTCATTAACTTTCTATGTTGGCGTATCGAGTTATACCACCGCAAAGTTCCTAGCACCTGGATTTGAGGCGGCGTTGAAGGGTTCAATAAACAAGGGGTACGCCCAAGCTGCATCAAAAAGCATCCAAACCAGCTTTGGTGGCAAAATGTTTTT